TTAATCTCTGACAAAATAGACTTTAAAGTAAAATCCACCACAAAGGATAAGGAAGGACGCTATATAATGATTAAAGGGTCAATACACCAGGAGGATATAACTATAATAAATATTTATGCACCCAACAACAGGGCTCCAAAATACCTAAATCAAACTCTAACAGCACTGAAGAGAAAGAGAGACAGCTCCATAATAGTAATAGGAGACTTCAACACACCACTTACGCTGAAGGAAACATCCAGAAAGAAGCTCAATAAAGACAAGGAAGAGCTAAATGCAGCAATCAACCAAATTTATCTCACAGACATATACCAAACATTCCACCGAATAGCAGCAAAGTATACTTTCTTTTCCAAAGCACATGGAACATTCTCCAGAAGAGACCATGTATTAGGCCATAAAGCAAGCCTTAACAAAATCCAAAGCAAAGACATACTAGAAACCATCTTTTCTGACCATAAAGCCAAAAAAGTAGAATACAGAAAAAGCAAGGGAAAAAAAAAAAAATCAAAATACACGGAAACTGACCAACACCTTGTTGAAAATCTATTGGGTTATAAAATAAATTAAGAATTTAGTAATTCACAGAATCAAACGAGAATGAAAACACATTCCATCAAAACCTTTGGGCCATAGCAAAAGCAGTGCTCAGAGGTCAGTTTATAGCAGTAACTGGACACATCCAAAAAGAAGAAAGGGCCAAAATCAAAACATTAATCCTACAATTCAAATAGAAAGAGAGCAGAAAAAGAAGCCCTCAGGTGCCAGAAGAAAGGAAATAATAAGAACTAGAGCAAAATTAAATGAAACAGAGAATAGAAAAACAATGGAAAGAGTTAACAAAACCAAAAACTGGTTTTCTGAACAGATCGACAAACTTGATAAATCACTGGCCAAACTGACCAAAAAAAAAAACAGGAGAGGAAGCAAATAACCCGTATAAGAAATGAGATGGGTCATATCACAACAGACCCAACTGAAGTTAAAGGAATCATAACAGAATACTAGGAAAACTCATACTCTAACAAATTTGAAAACCTAGATGAAATGGACAAATTTCTAGAAACTCACTACCTACCTAAACTAACACAAACACAGGTAGAACAACTAAATAAACCCCTAACAAAAGAAGAGATTGAAAAGGTAATTAAAAAACTCCCAACAAAAAAAAGTCCTGGCCCAGATGGCTTCACTGGAGAATTCTACCAAACATTCAGAGAAGAGTTAACACTACTACTACTAAAGCTATTTCAGAGCATAGAAAAGGATGGAACACTTCCAAACTCATTCTATGAAGCCAGCATAACCCTGATACCAAAACCAGGTAGAGACACCACAAAAAAAGAAAATTACAGACCATTATCCCTCATGAACATTGATGCAAACATCCTCAACAAAACTCTTAACCAACAGAATTCAGCAACATATCAAAAAAATAATTCACCATGATCAAATGGGATTTATACCAGGTATGCATAGATGGTTCACCATTAGAAAAACAATCAATATAATCCAACACATAATTAAAACAGAAGACAAGAACCACATGATCCTATCAATTGATGCAGAAAAGGCATCTGACAAAGTCCCACACCCACTCATGATAAAACCACTCAACAGAATAGGAATAGAAAGGAAATTCCTCAATATAATTAAAGGCATTTATATAAAGCCAACAGCCAACATCATCCTAAATGGAGAGACTTTGAAAGCATTCCCCTTGAGAACAGGAATCACACAAGGATGCCCTTTATCACCAATCCTATTCAACATTGTGCTGGAGGTCCTAGCCAGAGCAATTAGGCTAGAAAGAGAAATACAGGGCATCCAAATTGGTAGGGAGGAAGTCAAAGTACCTCTATTTGCAGATGGTATGATCTTATACACAGAAAACCCCAAAGAATCCACAAGAAAACTATTGGAACTAATAGAAGATTTCATCAAAGTTACAGGATACAAGATAAACATACAAAAATCAGTTGGATTCCTTTACACCAACAAAGAGAACTTTGAAGAGGAAATCACCAAATCAATACCATTTACAACAGCCCCCAAGAAGACAAAATACTTAGGAATAAATCTAACCAGAGACATAAAAGACCTATACAATGAAAACTGTGAGACACTACTGAAAGAAACCAAGAGA